CACACACACACACACACACACACACACACACACACACACACACACACACCTACCTACCTACCTGGCAGCACTTTGCTGCTGTTAAATGAGGGGTCTGGGGAGTTGTGCCGGCAAAGCCTTTGGCTACTCCTCCTCTTTCCGTGCACTCCAGTCAAACACACAGTGGGAAAAATAAGCCAAAGTTATGATGGGCAGACTGTAATACGCCAGGATATTCTAATGTTAAATAAATGGGATTCAGCTTTCTGAACAGCAGCAACATAGAGGCACTGTCTGGGGAGACTTTTTCCAGAAAGAGATGTACTGTCTGAGTGGACGAAATGTCAAGACCTTCTCTTCTTCTTCACATGAACTAGATGAACAGTAGAATACCTTTATTAAAAATCTGTGTGTGTGTGGCATCTTTGAGTTACATCAAACTATTTTCACCTCTCAGAATGATGCCCGTGAGGGATTTTCCTTTGTTTTTGTCGCCAGTAATTTGGTTTCCAGAGTTCCATGTCCACAGTCTGTTTCATTCAGGTGAGGATTCTCTGTAGCTTCATCTGTACGAGCGGGCACTTTCACACTGTCATATTAGTTTGTTTCTTACATTTGTCATTTGATGCATGCTAGAAGATAGATACGATAAGAAATACTTTGAATTGTCCCTGTAGGGAGTTTTTTTTCTTGTTATTAATTCGCAGGCCAGTATTTGTTTTCTGAACTGTTGTATTTGTCATGACTACTTTCACACAAACCATGTTTTTGCATAGAATAAAGGCATCAACCAATCACGCTGTGCGGAACAGACATATTCAAAATGTACACGATTGTTTTTTTTACATGAGGCTCAAACTCCAAAAATTGTATTTCATGAGTATCAGTGTCCAACAATGGAGGCTCTGTGGTCCGAACCAAGAAGGCAAACTTTATTACTCCTTTTAAACTTGACAAAGGCAGACCAGACCTACTCCTTCTGTTCTTACCTTTCACAATAAAAGCCCCAGATATATGTTCTTAGAGCATTATGCTAAAAGGAAACTCAATAAAACAGCTTACAGTGTCTTTTACAACCTTTTACCCCGATAAGCTCCATAGCAGTCTGTACCAGAGGAGCAATCTGTGTTTTCAACTGTACAGACCAGTTACCACGTCAGGCTGTGATATTGTAGACAATAGTGTGCTTCTAACAACTTGCCTGGCCTGCACAGAGCCCTGACCTCAGCCACATCCAACACCTCTGGGATGAGATTAGAACACCGACTGCCAGACTACCTCAAAGAAATGCTCTTGCGGCTGCAGCCAGGATAAAAAATAATAAAAAGCTCCCAGAAGAGTGGAGGCTGCAGAGTAAGACCCATGGTTGTGTAAATAGGTAATGTACAAGTGTCCACATACCTTTGACCATACAAAACAAGTATAAACGTGAGTAACTGCCTTTTTAAACTCTCAATGTTCTTTTTGTTGAGACTAAAAAAAACACACAAATATTACAGGATCCTTTTCAGCATCTCACTTTAGAATGATTCCAAAAATCGCCTCCGCATCCTGTACGACTCTCCATCTCCTCTGCAGTGGGCGTGGGTGCAGGTGGCGATAGCCTCCCCCCATCCTCCCCTCTCTCCCCCCCTGCCTCTCCGCTCTTTCTCTCTATGCCCATTTGACTGCATATTTTAAACCGGCAGAGTGTGTGTAGAGGGGGAGTGAAGCTGTGGGTTTGGACATGCTTTAAGACAACTAAAAACAGGTCGGCTGGTGCTAATATTTAGTCCGCTCGGTGTTAATATGTTGGGGCTCGGACGCAGAGCATCTAATCGAAATGTCTGCGGCCTTTGAAAGATTAGTTTCAGCAGTGTTTTGTCGCCGTGAGCTCATAGCTGTCTAATGGTGGTGAAATAATAATGACGTTGGACGCTGATCTGTCTCCTCTTTCTTTAAATATGTATCGACTCCAACTGTGCCAACAGATAAATGAAACAATGAAATCTGACAAAGTGGAATTATGCTGCACACAGGAATGCACGCACACACACACAACAGACTATATATATCCCTGACCCCAGGCTGTCAGTGCATCTTGTCCTCATCCAGCTCCGTATCCTTCCCACAATGTAACGTCAACTGGGTTAACTTTGGCTAATACGGCACAGCATCGCTGTCCTCCATGTCTCGTCTCATCTTTCTATGCATCTATTTGTCTCTCTGTGTATGCATCTCTCTCTACCCTTGTTAGTCTGACGTAAAAGAGCAGCGCAGTGTTCATCAGCTCCGAGACCGCAGGAATTTGTCCTCCTACGGAGACGCGGTGGCGCTACGAGCTACGACATAACAATCAATAAAGCTGGGGACGCTGACATTAAGGAAATACTTGCCATTATTCATGTGAGAGGGTGGGGATTTGTGAATAAAACCTCAGCGTGGTACGTTGTGTATGCCGGAACAGAACCCAGCCAGATGTTGACAGGACTGCTGATATTAACGGAAGGGAGTGGCCCTTTGAGAATACATGCAGTGGAGCGGTTTGAGATTGAAAATTCATGTAAAAAAACATTCACAAGTCAACAGAAATTCACTTCCAGCACTCTCGATCGGCATGTTCTAACTAGTTCCCTTCACGATCGTCATCTTTCCTTCAGAGATTTGTTAAAAGAAGTAAACAACAGGTGCACAACATCTACAACAAGTCTCTATATACTTTGGACCCTGATAAAAAGAAGGAAACAAATGTGGAAGCGACAGTTTGTTGAATGGATAAAGGCCTACAGTGTTTTGGGGGCTTTCACAGTATTTTTCTGCGACAGTCCTGCAGAAACTTTGAGAAAACTGTGCCCCGTAAACAGTGCCACTGCATTCACTCCAGGCTGAATATTTGATCGACTCATCTTTAAAAAAATAAAAAAGAGTATTCATTTTCCTTTAACGTTACATATTACAGCATTTTACAAAATACACATGTGGGCGAGACCTGCATTTAAACAAGTAATATAACTACTTTAAAACAATTTAAAACATTACAGCCTTATCACACTGATTTAGTCTCTTTCAGTTACAGCAGCTGCCCTTATTGCTTCAGCCTTTGAGGCATAAAAGCTATTTTCTCATTTATAAGAAAAAGCAAATAAAATCAATATACCCCTCTTCTTCTTATTCTCTGTTTTTTCAAAATTCTTCAAAACAAATGCTGTCGTGTTCAGCTAAGGACAGCTGTCACTGTTAAAATATTAACAATTCTGACGTGGATGTAAAAAAAAGCTCAGGCAGTGAAATGTTCCGAAAAATAAATGCTTCTGGAAATTCTCTGTCACTGAAGTGGATAGTCTAGAAATTAATGCTTCAAGTGTCAATGAGAAACGGTTCACAATTTATGGAAGAGGACGTGGCTCAAGTATCACTAGTGAAAGAGGAACTCTTTGAAAGGGGAAGTGACCATATTTGGACTGCGGAGGAGTGACGTAGAGACGCCGCGTACGGCTCTGGTAGCGGCAGCGAACCATCAATCAAAAGGTAGCCCCGCCCTAAAGCATACTCTGCTTTATGGTCTATTTTACTCCAAATGGACCATAATTTACTAAATGAACATCATGCTGTATTGAAGAAGCCTTGAAACTAGAGATTGAGACCATAAACTCATCTTTACAATATTTAATAAGGTAATAAATCAAGTCAGAAGGAGGGTCATTTTCTCACAGACTTCTATACAATCAGACTTTTTGCAAAAAGATGAGTCGCCCCCTGATGGCCATTAGAGAAAATGCAAGTTTAAAGCAGTTCAGCATTGGTTTCACTTTTCCGAACTGGAGGCTGCCGCCTGGTTATAGACCACTCACAGCCACATCTCCTTATTGCCAATTGGCATGAACACAAAGCTTCAAACCCACACACTTCATGCCACATTTCAGCCACCTAGGGTGAAAACAAAAGGGTGGGGGCATTTTTGTGGACCGGCCGACATGCAGAGTGAGCTATAGAGCTCTATATACTTTATATATCTTATTATAATGAATACAAAGTCCTTACCTGAGGCGTTCTTCAGGTTGCCGTTGTCGTCCGTTGTGGTGTACATGACATAGGGACCTGGCTGGTTAACACCAAAAGGCTGCGAAAACATGAAACCCTCATGAAAAAACGGACACGTTGACACTTCGCAAGTTTCTTTTCACATTAGCCGTCTGTCAGTGAGGGGGAAAGAGGACGGGGAGAAACAAGCAGGGAGGGGGGGAAAGAGAAATACAGAAAGACAAGAGAGAGAGTGGGCAGAAAAACATGTTTTCAGTTATGTTCATCAGGTGGTGTATATACGAGAGTGACGGCTGCGTGTTAGTGCGCGGACACAGATGGGTCGTCTTATCTCTTCATTACGAAAGTATGGCAAGAGATCTGCCGAGCCGTCGCTCGCTTTACCTCGGCTCATCACGAGCAAACATACACGCTGCAGGAGAGTCTTGGCCCTTCATGCTGTGACACTCAGCAGTCAGGTGAGGAAGGAATAAAAAATGAGGACAAAAAAAAAATAGAGAGAGAGATGAGAAAGCCACAGCGGAGCAGATCAGTGGGCTCAAAGAAAGACGACGAGAGGTGTGACTAAGAAGGAGAGGAGCGGGAGAGTGAAATGAAAAGATAGAGGGGGTGATGGATGGGAGATGAGGGGAGGAGAATCAGCCGCGAGCTCCACTCGTCTAATGCATTCATCGTACCTTTCAGTCAGACGACAAGTGAGTGGAAGAGCGGACCGACAGAAAACCAAAACAACTCTAATACCAGCAGCCTCTTGTTGATGTCAACGCTAATGTGTTTTGCAAAGGGCTTTCCACTGGTGAAAGGTTACATAAGGAGAGATGCTACTGGCTGCTGTGTTTCTGTCAGATTTCTCTGTCCACCTACGCATGATCATCATGACACCGGCTTTTTGGGATGAATAAAAAGGGGCTGGAAGCTAACTGCTCCATAAATCGATGGCTACGTTTAACTCCAAAAGTGCACTGTGGTGTAAGAGCTTATGTTTTCAAGGCAAAACCTTATACGCCCTTCAGACTGACGCAATGATGTGGGTCGTGTGTCATGGGGGTCTATCTGTATGGCTTAATGCGATTCAGCCGCCCCTCGAACGCAGGTCAAAGGCAGTCCAGCTTTGAAAGGGCTGGGTATCAATTCCTTAAAAGGTATCGGCCGATATACCCCAGTACCACGTATTATCTCCAGTCAAACGATACCTGCAATTGATCCTTTTTGCGCCCAGATCTAGAAAAAAAAGACTATTTGTATGGTTTCGCTCGTGGCCAATCATCTCAAGCTTCCTTTGATTTAATGCGAAGTGTGCCAACGACGGCAACAGGGCTGTGTCTAAAATAAACATTGGCGCTGTCAGAAAATCATTTCAATAAGGCCGCAGTGTTGGAAAAGCGAGGGGGGGGGGGCTGACGCAGAGGGATCCTGCGAAAAAGAAACAAACAAAAAGTGCAAGGTCAAAACAGAACAGGTGAACCTGGCTCAATTCTTGCAGCAATGCAATATCACCATTTACTTTTGTGATCGTTGAGGTATACTGTATGCTGTGAAGTGTTCTGGCATCTGATGAAGCCTTAAAAGGATGATCTAGGAACTAAACTGGCCTTCCTGCACTGGACTACATCTTCTCACCTGAAGCAACACGTCCCCCCATCACCATTTCCACTGATCCTCTAACATACGGAGGTTCCATTCAGTTACATTATGATGCGTTCAGGCTCTACTCAGTGAAAGATAGAGCTGAGCAAGGGGAATTATAATGCTATCATGATGTTTAAATGTAATTTAGTTTTTGGTGAGAAGGGTGGTAACAAGAACAAAAACAATCAGTATTGGCTGATGTGTCTCATCGCTGTTTGGCAAACTGTATCAGCTGCAAAAATACGTGATCCGGGTTTCTCTAAAAGTTGTGTTTTCTCCCTTTTATTCTGCTGTTCCAACCTGTGACTCAAAACCACAATTAGATCTGAAACATGAGATTTTCTTTTATCCATTTCACGCCTAATTTCAGCCGCCTTTAATGTGCTGATTTGATATTAAAGTCTTGTATTTTCTGTGTTTGATTGTTTTGAGTTTGTACACTGTTGTCTTCTGAGCATGTGTTGCTGCTGGGTTTTTTTAACCAAGCTTTTGTTAACTAAACTAATTGTAGAGTCCCAAAAGGAGCTTAAGGTGGGTTAGCTGGGACCACTGTGAGAGGCCGAAGTTAACCTCGTCACGCAGACTAACTAAACTAAGATAAACTATCAGAAAGTGAGCAGTAAACCACGAAAGGATACCTGTTATTATAAAATCATGAGCGCAAACCTATTTTCAGCAGACACCGTCACTGTCAAAGTGTCCCTGAGCAACAAGCAACAAACCCCAAAATGTATTTACCAAGGACAGGATTTGGAAAACAGGTACACCTGGCAATTATTTGCCCTTGTATTAAAAAAATCATACTTTATTGGGAAATGCGAAAGATACAATACAGTAAGTTTGTATACTGACTGTATTAGGAAGGTCTCCTGCTTGTCTCTATATATAAAAACAAATGAATGGGGGAGGGGTTTGGACAGGTGAAACTAGATTGCTATTGTATCGCAAAAACCTCATTTATTTTTGTGCTTTCCATGTTTTTCAGGCTGCACTTAAGGATAGGCACTTTACACAGAACGAGAAGCTTATTCTGCCTTAGAGCTCAAAAACACATCACCAATTCAAATCCCCTTCCCTAATTTCCTGCTTATAAAGTTGATCCTCCCTATAGACATGAAGTTTGGCCAGCAGTCAGGATATTCTCTGTTCCTGCTGAAACATTGTTGATTAGAAACTCTGGAGGAAGATAAAGATGTATGCATGGGAAGATAAGTGCATTGGGGAGAAGTACACCCAGAGACACACACCTGGTCAGTGATCAGACAGATAAGAAACTATTTTACCTTTGGTTTTTTGTGAATGCTGTTATTGGAACAGTGGACGAACAAAGACAGATTTCTTACCTTGACATCTTCTGGACAGTCATTGAAGCAGAGGCCGCTGAGCACTGAGGAGGACAGAGATGCCGGAGTTAGACATGTTGCTCTTACAAGTCCAACACGGTGATGGAGCCGCTGTATCAACGCGTATCAAGCGGGTCAAACTGGCACAGAGAAACAAACTCCTCTCACACAATGACTCAAGTTCCACATTCGAGACAAAGGAAAACAAATTCATATTAACCGTGCCTAAGCGTTCCTCACATTCACATTACCCTTAATTGAATCCTATTTTATGTGCGCTAGGTGAATGTGGACAAGGCGGACAAGCAAAGAAAGGAGGGAGGGTTGTAAATAAATCGTCAGCGGTGAGAAGCATCAAATAAATGTGCATGCTATTAGCGCTGCGTGTACGCGGAGACGTGCATGCCTCAGAGAGCATTTCGCTTATTTGTGTGTACAAGCGGAGCGAGGACAAAATCCGCAGAATTGCTAATCAGTCATTAGAGAAGAGACTTTATTAGCATACTAATGGGGTCCTGGGTCTAGGTTGCCTTAATTTGCCTGATGGGAGTCATGCCGAAGCCCAATACTCCGTTAATAAGGTCGGCCCCAGGTGCTGTGCTGAACAGCAGCCAAACTCAATGCACCTATTCAAAGGGAACATCACAGCGCCCCCGACTCACTCGTGGGAGGATGAAGCCTCGCTATCGGATTGTTCGGCACTAATTTGCCACAAACATGTTAATCACAAACTTTTACTATAAAGTGGGCACTGTAATTATTTGATGGAGGATTTTCAGTGATGTAAAGGCTCTTTGAAATGGATTTCCGATGCGGAGCATCGTCAGGTGACCTTGACGTCGCTCCGATGTATATAAAGGTCCCCTGTCACATGGCTCGCCATTCGTCCAGTCATTGTCCGTGGCTCCCTCATTGTGTCACTTTTCACTGGTTACTCTGTGCATTCTTCTGCACTGTTTGGAATATTCATAGGCGCGTGGAGGCCATCCACGCGACTGTACAGCTGGTCTAGAGGGCAATCCACACCACCACCAGACAGTGTTTCATGAATCCCTTCTGGAGGGTTGTCGGACTGAGCAAATATACAAGTGTGTCCATACACAACCCACTCTCTTCACGAGTTTATCTGTTTTTCTACTTGCACAACTTGTGAAGCAAAGGGAGCCATTCAAATCATACAAACTTTCTCTTTGTTATGCACAATCTACAACAATCAACCTCCAGCTCCTTTCTTCTATTTCCAAAGCTTATTTGGCCATTTTAGTATTATTAGATAGACGGGACAGAGGAGAATGGGGGGGGGGGGGGGGGG